AGTGTTCCACCAGTGCAACAATTCCTGTCTTGAGAACATGCGTAGGGAACTTCATCTGTCAGTCAGATCTAGCTCGAAACAGACGAATCGGACTATGTTAATTAAAGCGCCGACCACCAGCCCTTTGTGTCAAATACAGCCAGGATGTGTTAGTTCTGCAAAATGCATTGTTCGCCCAAAAAATCTTATCTAGGCAGGCGCCAGCTAACCTGCTTGAATAAACTGCAAAACATGTTTCAATATCCTCCCCCTTCCCCGCCTCCATCTACTGTTTCGGGGAAATTGTGACCTAAACGAGCAAAAGCTTACTTTTGCTACTGTCTGAACTACAACTCCTACCAATTCTTTTAATAGTGTACTAGTCTTCGCACTGTCACTGCGATTCGGGAATAAAACGTGCAGGTTAGTGCTTTGTCTGTTTCAAACACGTGATTTTTTAGTGCTCCCTTTTCAGATTTCATCAATTACCTGTCTCCTTTGTGTCTTGATTACCTTCTCTCAGCTTTTCTATTTTAAGTCTGCCCTAGAACTTCCGTCTCGTTTCCATAATTAAGTAACTAAACTTACAATAAAAATTTGTCTGTTAGAGAAGACTCCAAGCTAAATGGATATTGCGTAGATAGGCCCCCAGCAGAGTAACTATAGAGAGGGAGAAAGAGGAAAGAATCCAGTTTTTTCTTTAACTGCAACAAAGAGGGAACACATCCTCAACAACTTTGCAGCTAACAAATAAGATATGAAAGTAGAGGAATTCTGACAGTGCTGAAAATAACTAAAAATTCACTGAACAAAATAATCAAGACTTCGCAGTACCTTCCCATCATGCTTTCCTTCTTCTTCTCCTGACTGACAATCTTTCGATGGATTAATCTGAGCATGACGTACCATCCAGGCTACTAACTTTTTCAACGTGTTATAATTGACTTGAAAGAGCGGAATTGGAGTCATATCAGTTCGACTGGCGCTTTCCAAGGCTTGACCTATCGTTTCCGATAATAAAGCCACAGACTTCGGTACAGTAACAATTCGACCATCATTCGACTGCAGCATTAGAATTTCATCTTCACCCATTTCATAAAATTACCGCATTACCGCTGCTGCAGACTTGTCAGCCACTGAAAAACTTTTAGTTCTGAAGCAGAAATACATTAGCCAAATCCAAACTAAACATGTAATTCACTTCACTGACTACACTACAAAAGAGTAAAGTGCCTTCGCCGCTTAAGTAGTCATTTAAAAAAAAATAGCGAAGACTACGACA